TGCCACGGGAGCCCCGCGGCCTGGCCTGCCCCGAGGCAGAGGCGCCCAGGCCGCCTGGGGGGCGAGCTTTCCTTCCCAGCCGTTCACGATACCAAGTACGGCCTGTAGCATCAGCTCGCTCGTCGCTTCTAGCAGCCTGCATTACAAACTGGCTTGCTTCCCGGTGAATGCCAGTACCTCATGCCGACCTCCACGCCGAGTATTACAGGAGTAGTAGGGTAGCCTAGACTAACAGCAGGAGTTTACGTATGGGAGGCCATAAAATATGTAAGGACAATTACAAGTTCTCTGAGGAAAGTTTTTCCTCATCTGTTTTTGCAATTTCATTTTCCTATGTGTATCTTCCACCCGCCCCGTGTCTGAGGAATGATCGGGGTTCATTAAAATGCCCTTCTACCCATCTCCTGACATATCTTAGATTAGTGGAGTCCAACCTTTTCAACCTGAGAACTGAACTCATTTCCAAAAGGTTACAGTTCACAATCAATACTTTTTATCTTGCAGAGGGAAAAAAAGGGGGAGGAGGGAATGGACTGTCATATTTTTCTGAAGCAGCTTTTTGACTTGCTTGCCTTTCAGCAACTTTTACATTTCTGACTGAAACTGAGTCATTACCCAGCAATTAAACTTGACAAAGGGAGTTACCAATACAGCATTTATTAAGAGCACGGGGCTGCTATAAGGGCAGTTGTCATCAATAGTTGCCTTCTATGGATGCCAACATTTTGGTTTTGGTTTATGGTTTCTCACTGCTTTTTTTGTTTGTAGCACTGCATCTTGAAAGTCATGGCTTAGAGTGTAAAAGTCCGTGTGAATATTCTTGACCACCACCATTTTATCTTTTGGTTCTTTAGACTTCCATTTTTGTCCTGCCCTTTGCATTGTTTACAGTAAAAGCCATCACAGTTTTCTTTCCCTGTGGATGGAAATACCTCGTTAGAACTATGATAAACGGTCACAGTAACTGTCAGACGCTTTTCCAGTAATGTGCCTTGAGGCAGACACCTCTCAATCATGCCAAGTCAGGCGGCATCCTGCAACCTGAGTTTTAAAGGATCAAAAACCAGTGTAGACTGCCGGAGAGCTGGGTCTGAACCAGAGAAAAATGGACACTTAACCTCTCTCCTAAAAGTTTAAGATGTTGCTCTGGTCTACAGAGAGATCTGAGAATTTGCATCAGCAGTCCTTAGAAATTGTCTCTGTTTTCCAAACCATGCATTGATTTCAAAATGTAACAGTGAGAATGCTTGAATTTTGGTCCCAAATGTGGTTATGCTTCCGCAAAGGGGCCCCTGGCTTACATCTTTTATTTGTGTATAAGGCATGTACAGTGTAGGAAGGGGTAACATATACTAGGCCAAGTTTCATAGTTTGTCAGGTAGATTGATTCTAGTTTCTTTTAAGATGGCCTGCCTGTTCTCTGAAGCAAGAGGTTTAGACTGCTTGCTTCTTTGTATAAATCTGTAAGTATTTATTGTTAGTAATAAGAAACATCTTAAGTACAACACGCTAATTCTTTTATTATTACATATATTGCTTAAAAAGTAATCTTAGAGGAAGGACTAACAGAATAACAGAACAGCAGTCCTGTGGAGTATTTCAGAGAAATTTGTGGGAGTACAAACATGGGGAAAAGCAGACAAATGGGCTGTTGGGCTGGATGATCATGGGCCTGTGATATCATAGAATCATAGAATGTTTTGGGTTGGAAGGGACCCCTAGAGGTCATCTAGTCCAAGCCCCCTGCAGTGAGCAGGGACACCGCTAACCAGATCAGGTTGCTCAGAGCCCCGTCCAACCTGGCCTGGAATGTTTCCAGGGATGGGGCCTCCACTACCTCTCTGGGCAACCTGTTCCAGTGTTTCACCACCTTCATGGTAAAGAATTTCTTCCTTATATCTAGTCTAAGCCTACCCTGTTTTAGTTTAAAACCATTACCCCTTGAAGTAGGGAAGAGGAGCAGATAAAAACAGTGAAGCAGAGGTTGGAAGGGCCTTGAAACTGAGAAGAGAAAGCAAATGTTAGGTGAAGGTTTAGTAAGTATCAATAAACAGCCCTATCAGGAAGGGTAGCTGTAAGCTTTCACAATCAGTTCTTGCTATCCAGTTTTAGCCTGAAATAGGCCACGATTGTTCAATGAATAGCCTTTTCCTGGCTAGATAAACTCTTCAAAATCACCATGCAGTGATAATGTACTTGCACATTGCATTTATACCTCTACAAAATCGTGTCAAAATTACTGAATTACAAAACACAAATTACTACCAAATCTAAATTCTCCACTTACATTAATGGATTACAGTATTCTATATTTCAAGTTTTTGTGGAGCATAAGAAAAGTAACACACAAGGCTTAAAACACAGAAAATAGAAGGCTTTTGCTTTTCCGTTTTCCACTCATCATGTTTCTTTCTGAAACCATTTCACCTCCATGTTTCATACCATCTTCACAACTGCTACTTCTACAGTATCTGGTAAATTGCATAGTTTCTTACTCTTCCATTCATAGATGTGAACAACTATGTAATATGTGATGTATGGACATAGCTTTTAAAAATTAATTGCACTGAGCAATAACTTCCAAGGCTCTGTGGAAGGGAAAATGTGCTTATAAATACATATGCATTTTCATCAAAACATTGTATACACATATGCATTTAAGGGGAAAAAGGATTCACGATACTCAACAAAATAATTCTGTATTTCAAACAAACATTAACTTTTTCTAGCTTTTTGAAGCATTTAGCGAAGATATTTTGCGATGTTTTTTTACAAAGTTATGTCCGTTTTGTGGTTTAAGCTGAGCTAGGCTGCTGTATGCTTATTTGCTGCCCTCTTGTGGCTCAGATTATTAATACGCTATTTGTCATGAAAAAGACAGGAGATGCATTGGTAAGGAAACTAATTTTTAATGGCATTCAAGCTCTGTATAACAGAAATGTCAACATATCAAATGCTTTGCTCATACTTTCTGTATTTCTGATAGTTTCTGATATACCTAAAACATTCTGGTATTGCAGATCCCACACAAATGTGTAAGAGTTTTAACTTAAGGGTTTTTTTTTTTAGTAAATGCCATTGATTGTGATGGTTTGACCCTGGCTGGACTCCAGGTGCCCACCAAAGCCTCTCTATCACTCCCTTCTTCAACAGGACAGGGGAGAGAAAAATATATCAAAAAGTTGAGATAAGGACAGGGAGAGATCATTCACCAGTTACCGTCACGGGCAAAACAGACTCAACTTGGTGAAATCAGTTTAATTTATTACCAATCCAATCAGAGTTGGATAATGAGAATAAACCCAAATCTTAAAAACACCCTCCCACTACCCCTCCCTTCTTCCCGGGCTTAACTTTACTCCCAGTTTTCTCTATCTCCCGCCCTGCCCCAGCGGCACAGGGGGACAGGGAATGGGGGCCGTGGTCAGCCCATCATACATCTCTGCCGCTCCTTCCTCCTCAGTGGGAGGACTCCTCACTCTCTGCCCCTGCTTCAGCATGGTTGAACCATCATATTGATTAAGATAAGTAATGATACAATACAAACTTCTGAATATTAAGATTTTTCATTCAGTAGTGTGCCCTGCCCCAGCGACACAGGGGGACAGGGAATGGGGGCCGTGGTCAGCCCATCATACATCTCTGCCGCTCCTTCCTCCTCAGTGGGAGGACTCCTCACTCTCTGCCCCTGCTTCAGCATGGTTGAACCATCATATTGATTAAGATAAGTAATGATACAATACAAACTTCTGAATATTAAGATTTTTCATTCAGTAGTGATTTAGAAATCTGATGTATAATCAATTACTTTAAAATTAAGCACTGAGAACTCATTCCCTAGCCTGGAATAAAGTGTTTTCAGTCTGAGGCCTGAACTCAGCTGCTAGTATTCCTGAGGAGTTCAGGAAAACTCTTACGCATATGGGAAAACTAATGGGTCTGAAAAAAAAATTTGATCTGCCTCTCTCCAGCTGAATCTGGATTTGGGGCTGTAATAAAAGCAAACCAATGTTCTTTCAAAAGTACCCGTTTGCCATTCCTTCTTATCAGAACTGACTACCATATTATCCACAAGAGCTGCTCATGTATGCGCTG